GGTTCTACGTCATGGTGCTACGTCCCTTAGGACTTCGCTAGTGGGATATCACTCGTGACCCCCAGGTCACACGCCAGAGAGATCAAAATAATTTGCTCCAATCACCAGCGACCCTCCTCTATAAAGGCCCCTGCACAAAGCCGCACCCCCTCTTTCACTCTGGCGCCGATTGAGATCTACAGTACTCACTTCATTCTAGAGATGTCTTCTGTTCGTCCGAGTTCCTCGTCGCCCTCCGGCGTCGGACGTTGTCGTTGCTCGACGTGTCGAGTCAGGCTCCAGCGCACGGACCAGCACTCCAGCTGCTTCATGTGCCTGGGCCCGGGCCATGCGGCGTTGAGCACCACCTGCGCCTCGTGTCTCGCTCTCCCCAGGGAGGAGAGCGAACGCAGGCGTGCGTACCTCGCCGCTGTAGCGCCCCGTCCGGACTCCTCTCAGGACGAGGAGTCTGAGACTGACTGGGCCCCACTCGACCTTCCACCCGTGCCCGCGGAGTGGGGTGACTGCGAAGATGGAGAGGCTTCGGAGATCGGCTCCCTCCTCACCCTGGACGAGGTGGTCTCGAACCCGGAGCCAGACCGCTTCCCACTGGACCACATGCCTGGGCTCTACTCCTCCGCGGCGGCCATCATGGATGCTCCTTTGCCACCGCAGCCGAGAGGGCGGAGGACTTCACCTCTGGGCACGCCACCACTCGAGGGAGGAGGAGGATACAGCCCACGTTGTGCCCGCGGATGGACACGATCGTCCATTACGCGACACGTGAGTGGCCAAAGCCCCTAGCAGCCAAGAGGCCTGCTCTCGGCTACGGCATGTATTGCAGCGTGCAGGACTGGTCCTGGACCGGCGGGGTCCCGGACATCGAGCATTCGGTCCGCATGGCCCTGCAGCCCTCCGCATCCCTGGTGGCTAGACTGGAGGCTGCAGCCAAGGACTCGGCTAGGCTAGCCCCGCACCTAGCACCGAGGCGCGAGGCCCGCCCACCATCACGGAGCCAGGACAGAGGCAGAGAGCGTTCGCCCGGGAGGCGCTCTGACCCCTATCCACGCTCTGTGGCCCATCGTCTCCCCTCGACGAGGCCCCCGGGTCCAGACAGGCCCACGGGAGGCTCGCGGGAGCAACGCACCCACCGCCGACCTCCCTATGGCAGAGGAGGTCGGGGTGGAAAGAATTCCTTCAATAAAGGCCGACCGGCATTTCATCATTACTCGTTGTCTGAGTCTCATTTGGGGGTATGTAACATGTCAAATATTGTGAATTCTGATTGTGTTACTTCCCGGGCACATAACGTTGCTTCGCTAGGCCTGCAGCCCCCAGAGCAGGGTGTGCAGTGCGCTACGCAAGCTACGAGCTCCGGTCCTCTGATCCATGCTATGCCCTCCCAGAGAGGGGTCAGGCGGAGGGATCTGGTGAGTAGTGATGTGTGTGCTTCGGCCGAACGCGTGTTAGCCTCTCTGAGCTACAAGGCTAACACGGGGTTTCCCACTCCAGGGGCTCGCCCCCCCCTCCATGAGGCGAGAGCCAGGGGGGGGCGCAGCAGCCGAGTCACGTGGGATGAGCAGACCCATACTGATGACGTCGGGCCTGCAGGACACGTGACCGCCCCCGGCGCTCACGGTATGACGCAGGGGGCCCCCCGGCCCTTTCGTCCACCCCCCCTCCCTGCTAGGAACACCAGGAGAGGGCGGGGCCGTGACGTCTCGTGTTCCAGCTCCCGTTCCGCCCCTCACAGACTTCTACAGCATCTGGAGTGAACAGGGATTGCTGACGGACCCATGGCTGGAGAAAACATTGCGCAGGGGTTACGCACTGCAATTCTCCCGAAAACCACCACCATTCCGAGGCGTACGGGCAGCACGCTCTCAGGTACGGGGATCATTAGAGGCACTACAAGCGGAGGTCTCCTCTCTGCTGAGTCGAGGCGCAGCAGTGGAGGTAGACTCACAGGACGCCACCAGGGGGCTGTACTCCCCTTACTTCTTGGTGCCAAAGAAGTCGGGCGGGGTGCGTCCCATTTTGGATTTCCAAACGGCAGTTTCGGATGCTGTCCACAAAACAGCTCCTCGAGTGTGTCAGGCAGGGAGACTGGATGTCCTCCATAGACCTGACAGACGCTTACTTCCACGTGCCGATAGTTCCGGAACACAGGAGGCTTCGCAGTGGGAGAGAGGAATTACGAGTACTGCCGTCTCCCCTTCGGCTACGCACTCGCGCCTCGGACCTTTTCCAAGTGCGTGGAGGCAGCACTGGAGCCGCTCAGTCGCTTTTAAGACGGCCCTCTTGCTGGCGTTGGTGTCTGCTAAGAGGGCGGGCGACTTGTGGGCGCTCTCTGTCCATGCGTCTTGCCTGTCCTTTGGAGAGGGCGACGGCATGGTGGAATTGTGGCCCAATCCGGCCTTTCTCCCCAAGGTCATCACGTCGGCCTTTAGGTCGAGAGTTATCAGGATTAGGGCTTTCTATCCGCCACCGCATGCCTCCCCCGAGGAGGAGCGGCGGCACCTTCTGTGTCCTGTCAGAATGCTTAGGCATTACCTGGCCATGACGTCGTCATTCAGGTTGGGTGATCAGTTGTTTGTGTGTCTGGGCCCCAAGAACAGGGGCGCCCCGCTGTCGGCTCAGCGGCTGGCGCACTGGGTCGCCACGGCTGTGCGGCGGGCGTATCAGACGCAGGGTCTGGCCCCCCCGGTGGGCTTCAGGTCGCATTCCACGCGTGGGATGGCGGCCTCTACGGCCCTCCTCAGGGGGGCGTCGGTCGAGGACGTCTGCCGTGCGGCTTCTTGGGCGTCGTCCTCTTCTTTCGTCCGGTCTTATCTCTTGGATGTGTCGGACCGGTCGGTGGCCCATTCCGTGCTGAGTGCAGCGGACTGAGTTGAGACCGTTGGGTCCCTCCTCTGAGGGGGCCTTCGGTTGACTTTCCGCCCTGGTTCAGGAGCTCTTGGGAGAGGCGTCCTACAGGTGCGGTACTTATATGTGTGCTTGGTCAGTCAGGTAGTCCACGTCAGGAGCTCTTGGGAGAGGCGTCCTGGGACTACGGGTGACCTACGGTGTGTGATACGTGGGGGTATCCTTGGGAAGAGTGGCCCTGTAACACGCAATTGCTTCTTCTGCCCTGAGTCCTCTCACTTGTGAGGGTCTTGCTCGGGCGGAGCTCCAATCACTCTTCGCTGGCCTGCTGGGAGTACATGTTCCTACGGCCTCCGCGTTGTGTCCCACTAGCGAAGTCCTAAGGGACGTAGCACCATGACGTAGAATTAATAGTTACCTAATGTAACTTAAGTTCTACGAATAGGTGCGTAGTCCCTTAGCTACGAGCCCATCAGGCCAGCCCGGCTTGGCAGAGTTCAAGAGGGGGTGCGGCTTTGTGCAGGGGCCTTTATAGAGGAGGGTCGCTGGTGATTGGAGCAAATTATTTTGATCTCTCTGGCGTGTGACCTGGGGGTCACAAGTGATATCCCACTAGCGAAGTCCTAAGGGACTACGCACCTATTCGTAGAACTTAAGTTACATAAGGTAACTATTAATAACACGTTTAGAAAGAGATTTATCGTGCAGGGAGGTAACTTGCTTGTCTTTTAAGTTGGAATTTTACTAAATTAGCAGGAGCTCTGGAAGGTGCGTCTTTACTCCTTCGCGCTCGCTAGCGCCCCCTCGGTCAGTGTTTTTAACCCATTTCAGGTCATTAGACAGAGTTAAACCCAGAAACTTGCACTCCTCTATGATCTGCACCTGGGAGTTGTCGATTAAGACAGGCAAATGAGAACTATTGCGACTGAAGTCGTAGACCAGTTCACATGTTTTCGATGCGTTCAGCTGGAGGTTGTTAGTTTTACTCCACTGAACCACATTTTGTATCTCTGCTCTATAAGAGGATTCATCATTGTCACTGATGAGACCGATGATGGTGGTGTCATCAGCATATTTGATGATCAAGTTTAAGTCAGAGGAGGACACACAATCGTGAGTGTACAAAGTAAAAAGCAAAGGACTCAAAATACATCCCTGAGGAGAACCAGTGCTCACAGAAACAACATCAGAAAAACAGTCATTGATTTTCACTCTCTGAGATCTGTCAGTTAAAAAGCTAAAAATCCATTTACACATGGCAACACTTAAACCGAGAGACATGAGCTTTTCAATCATTTTACCTGGGACAAGGCAGTTAAGTTTACTTAGGTTTACAAGGCAGTTTAGTACTGTGTTTATATATTCTATACCAGGGG